ACGAACATTTCAAGCTATTCATTACAATAAGAACATCAATCTCCAGCCATTATGTTTTTCAATTGGTACACGTACATTTCAATTCACACGTACATGAATTTTCCCTACTGTATCTCTCGTCTTGTGTACTCAGCGAACCACTTAGCTTAATGTATACAGACTTGAAAAATATATTTGTAAATCATTCCTATTATTTTATTTATAGTTCTGTGCTCGGGAATTATACTTAAGATATCACTATTCTGACTATTTTAGCTCAAGAGAGGTTTTCGGAGCAGTTATCATTATTTGTGTTATGCTTTATTATTATTATTATTATTATTATTATTATTATTATTATTATTATTATTGTGTTTCTGTCGAGTATCATATGCGGCGGACAATAAAAAAATCGGAACATTCAATGGAACCGTCGACCGTCATCAAATCTCTTAACCACTGCGTTAAAAATTAAACAATTTCACGAAACAATATGCTTTATTATCACACGACATAAAAGTTATTACTACAACACTGTCACCACAAACTTGAATAAAACAACGAAATGTCTTGAAGACTGTTTCCACTAACGAAGATTTAGCGTCCATTCTGTTTTATATATGACGAAACTTCGAATATCGGTTTCTCTCATTTCATTAGACATCCCCTGAAAAGGGGACTGTCTAGGCATAATCCTTAAGTATGTCCATTTTTTTTCCGTGCAGGAAGTACGAAGTTTCCCCTCACAACCTTTTAACTTAAACTGTATTTTGGACATAAAGATTAGGCGAGCGTCGAGGCAGGTTAATACGCAGAAGTAAACAGCGAACCGTAAACCATGAAGTAAACCCCCACCTACAGTGCGCCCAAGACCAAGACGCGTGCCCCTTCCCCAGAATTAACAAAGCAATTCCTTGCAAAAGACTTTTATGTTTGCGCACCCGCCCCGCTTTACCTCTGTATTTGGGGCCGGCGGCGGCTCACGGTTTACGAGGCGCAGCAGAGACGCTACACAACTGCGCCGAAGCACTTGGGCACCTACGCGCGGAGCCGGCTGCAATTACGGCAGATCGCTTAGGGCGGAAAAGCAGGCGGCCGCGAAATAAAGAACGAAAACTCCCGCGTTCATTTTACTGACTCTCCTTGGGAGAAGAAGCCTTGGAGCTTCAAGGTACCTACACACACTATATATATATATAATATATAATATATTATATATATTACTATAATATAGTATATATATATATATATGGAGAGAGAGAGAGAAGAGAGAGAGATATCACAACTCGTTTCATCAAACAATAAACACAAATAATACATTTTGTCAAACAATGCCACATAAAGCGCTACAGCCGCACCGTATCTTTCAAAATGCGAGAAAACCACGTCTAATTCGTTGTCAGAAATAATAGTATAGCATGCTCCAATCACATTATCGTTCGTATTCATGCGCGTACAACGAGGCGATCTTTTGTGAAGTGGGCAATGCTGCAGGTTTATGAAGTACTAAAATATGTTGCAGGACGGTCTGTTTATGAATATTGTTACAATTACAGATAAATGAGGTAATAACGATGACGTATAATGTATTATATTACCTAAAGTAAATTAAGTTTACAAAATGTGTTAGGGTTACGTTTAGGTTTTGTGGAAGCAACTGAGAGGTGTAGGAGGCTTTCTGGATAGTTGCAATAACTAAGATATACTTTATTTAATGTATCTTTTCCAGCTTTTTCGTAGCTCTTCCAGCTTCTTTTGCAGCTGTTTTTCGTAAATCCTTCCTTTTCTAATACACTCATGATATTAGACTAAAATTTCTGATGAGGTCGCTGAGTTCGAGACGAGACGAACGGGCGCTGGATCAGTACGTGAGAATAGTACAAGCCAGTTTCTTCCCGAACCAACGAACAATTCGAACTATCTGTTGTGTTTAGAAATTCAGTGAGGGAGGTTGTGTGAGAAAGTGATAGAACAAACTATTGCTAGTCATTAGACATGATTGTTTAATTGAAAGTATAGTTAAGAACAGTCTTGAAACGAAGTTTATTGAATCATTCTCCGCAAGAAAAGTAATAACTAAGCATATGTGTAAATTTTAATTCATTTGGAAAAGTTTAGATCATATTTGAATAAGTAATTGAAAGTGGCTAGCTTTCTGCAAGGTAGTCTCTAGTTCGGGGATATAAATGAAGTTCTAGTTTTCTAAAAGAAATCATATCAGTTTCTATAGATGAGTCATAAATCAAAAATCTCAGGCAGGCCAAGGAAGCTTGGCACGGAGATGGGAGAACGAGACATGCCTCCCTTACCCCCCCCCCACGCGTGGGTAAAAAATAAAACAGGGCCCAGGATCAGGAAGCTAGGTGCTAGCTGGCACAAGTCGGATTATTCCGACGCTAAATTGACAAATACACGCAGTGTTATTGTAGGCATCAGTAACGTATTTACCACTCATATGTCACAACAACACAAGCTATCGATTGCTTTTTTTTGTTTCTTTCTACAAAAAAAAGTATGGAAAAAGGAGTTGATAATTCATGGTTGAGAGCTCAGGAAAAAAAGCGAATGGTGGAGAATTTTGTGCCTACATTTTTCTACGTATTTTCACGTGAAAACATTAGGTGGCGCCTTTCGAATACCGCTTTAAAGAACTACAAGACGATACGTATTAGAATAGTATGCGGTCGGATTCACTCCCTCGTTATCCTGTACTTTCCTCAGCGCTTTACAAGCATTAGAATAATAAGATGTTTAATAACACAGTTTCACCCACAGAAAGGTCACATTAAACATCGTGAGATAATTAACCAAATACTCCGTTAATATTACGATTGTTTAGGGTATCGACAAATTATATAATAATTTCTAATGTTATCTATTTTATTATATAAATGTTAACAATTGACAAATTATATAATAATTTCTAATTTTTCGATTAGCCTTATTTCAGGACTTTCCCAGACGATTTTCCGCTAAATTATCCTTTAACGAGAATTGCAAACTAAAAACCAGAATTGCAAACAAAAAACCTCTTTATGTTTGAAATGTAAATTTATCCCATCTTTTTTGACTCATACCAAATGTTTCCACTCAATCGACTAAATTCAACAATTATCATTTTCCGCGCTGTTTTATCTCTCGACAAGTTTAATGTGATTATCAGGTAAAATGCGATACAATTTTTTTTCGTGTGTGTTTCAAAAATCTTTCTGTCCTAGTTTTATGGCATTGGTCTTAAGTTATAATCTCAATTTATTTGTGATAAGGTTGGCGGTGAAGACACGAACTTTTTATAATACATAATGTTCACGAAAAATAACTATTTGAATAACCAAGTTGGTTTTACAATGTTATTCTGCTATCACCGGAGTATATTTTACAAAGCCGAATTTAACTGCATTTTTTTAATTTTTGCGAAAGAACATGATAGTACGAGTTCAACGCTCAGACATTTAGCGTTAATAGCGAACATTTTTAGACGAAGATGATGCAAAGGGGTTGGCTGTGGGAACCTCCTTTAAACATTAAGCAAATCGGAGTTTAAAGGGGCTAATGCATATTATTGGTTTGATGGGGGAATGTGTATTTCATTATCTAATCTCAGCTAGATCGCAAGAGGTGAAAGAGGTACTAAGGAACGCTCTTTACCAAGATTTCAGGGCGAGAGCGACGGACACTTAGGATAGATTTTGGAAGAACGTATAAGACATATTCGAAATGTATGTTAAGACGGGTGCTTTAGCTAGGTCTTTGTGAAGATTTGTGTTGCGTTATGTACCAAGGGGCGTTAACTGCAGTTCTGAGAACCAAGTTTAGGAATATTTACATTTTGTTGATTGCAAATTGCAGAAGCCGGTAGGTCACAGACAGGCAGCATCTCTTCCACGGGTGATTGAAGTGCGTCGCAATGGGTGATTAGCCTGCGACCTATCCACGAGATGCCGTCGCATCTGGGCGCTTTCGGGCGCCCGGGGGTTCCTTATATTTCGGTCTCTCGATTGACGGAGTGGCGGCAAAGAAACGGGAGAAGATATAAGCGGTTCATCAAAAATCCATGGCGGAAGACAGTAAACTCCATTGCCTGGGGAGTCTCCGGGATATAACGGCAATAAAGGAGGACAGGAATAGGCCGAGCGAGTCCGCGGATAGGCGGAGGCGGCGGCGGGGGCGGCGCGGGCGCCGCCGACGCTTCGGTGATGGGCTCTGTCTCCACAGCAAGTGCTCCGGCCCGCGGATACACAATCCACGTCCGCGTAATAGAGAGTGCGCTGGCAGAAAACACTCGTGAAAGCGAAGGGCGGCTCGATGCAACAGCGGTGAGATGGAAGGAAAGCGACAGAGGCGCATCTTGCGGAGAAACACGGAACCGGGGTTTAGACATCGGCATCTCATTCGCGAAAGCACCGCGAAAATTCACCGGGTGAGAAAGTAAACAGAATTGCACGACGTCCTCCGGTGTTGCATCCACACATACGATATTTCTGACACCGTTGTACGCTCTTTCATATGATAATCCCCATCACGTCCCCCTCCTCCAACCCATCAGAGGCGCAGTAAAAGTGTCTGGTTTGAAACGGAAGCATAACAAGCGAGTGAATATTTTATCTTTATCGTCAGCGGAATTTTATGCCCCTCAGTGAAAGAAAGAATTTGCTGTCAAATTTATGGACGCGAGAATAAACAGTTTTGTCGGAATTCTGACAAAGAATCACAAATGAAAAAGAGTTTGCAAGGGGGTCTGGGGGGGCACAACAAAAATACATTGTGTTGCCATGCGAGCGGTGAGGGGCATCACTCGATATTCACTTGCAAAGAGCAGTTTTACTATCCAGCCTGAAAGGAGCAAACAGAATACGTCATCGTTCTATAGAAGCATACCCTCCACGTTTGGACAAATTACATGCATAGAATAAAATCGACACCCGACTCCTGACACCTTCCTCCTCGACTCCTGACACCAGACTCCTGGCCTTGCAAAGCCTCGAGCTCGCGGAGAAGGCGTAGAAGCGCCGGGGACTGACCTGATTTTGACTTCCTTGCTCTGCCATTCATTGTGCCGCTCAAAGCTGATGAGAATTGCCGCGATCTCCTGCAACACACAAAGGCACCAGGCGGGTTAGAGAAGTTTTCTACCTCGAAAGTGCGTAAAGTGTCAAAAACAGGTTTTATGCTTTTCTTGTAAAATACAGGCACACACACACACACACACACACACACACAGGGGAACACAACTGAAGTACACAAACTTCTAAGATGTAGATATCACCACTTAAATTTAATTTTACACAATTTCACATTTATTATATTAAACAATTTACAAGATCCGTAATATTCCAGGAATTGGGAAAATTTGCTATTCAAATAAATAGCAAAACTGAAAACGTGATATAAATATCCAAAAATTTAACAATGAATTAAAGATACCAGAGAAAACATATTTTGTGTATTATTTTTATGTCAAAACGTGGTTCAAAAACCGTTGGTTATAAACTAACCAATTTGAAGTACTCTGGATTTTATTGCTTTAACAGGAGCACATCCAGACATCCGATCAAGTCTTTACGGACAAACATTTAAAGACTTCAAGTGATAAGTAATACAAGAATATATCACATGCAACAGAATAGGATAAAATCAGGGTAAATGGAAATTATTACAAATACTTGAGATACTACCGAAGTGACTTTAATAAGAGACTCTAACACAACGAAAAAATTAAAGTACATTTTGTACTTTCAGTAGTAGTAAGTTTAATTACAAACATTCCATAATTTAGGCATTTGCATTCCAACGAACCTCAGCAGTTGTCAGCAACTTAAAGAGTGCGCATCAAAATATACTCATTTCAGCACAGTATATTTTCCTTTTAAAATATTTTCGCGAATAAACCTAATGAGCCCGCTGTGCATAAACTCTTATTTCGCAGCACCGTATGAAGTAAAGCCGGGCATTACAACGCCCGAGTGTGCGTCGGTTGACTCCCCGGGCACATTGACGTGGCGCGCAGATAAAACGCAGCCGACCGCACCTCACCCGCCCCCGCCCAGGACTCGGCCCCTCTCACTCCTCTCCTCCCCTCTCCGTTCCACCGTACCCGGACCGGCCAGCTTCACCTCGCATCGCATCGCATCGCGTCGTGTCGTGTCGCCCCCACCCAGCCCCCAGCCCACCGCAAGGGCGCGCACGGGCCCGACGGCGGAGCGCAACAGACGCCACTCGGCGCCTCGCATTCCTCGCTCGACTCATTTAATTTCGAGCGCCCGCCGCCGTGCCAGCGCCGTCGCCATTTCAGACCGGCCTGCCGACACCCCAGCTCCGCCCCCCGGGGCGAGTCAACGACAGCGGGCACGCAGTGGGACGGGCTGTGGTGAAGGGAGCGTGGATGGAGACGGAGGCGGCAGGAATGCTGCAGGCGCCGGGGTGGCTTGAGGGCAATGGACACGAGGCAGCGTAGGAACGGTGGGAAGCCACAACGGCCTGAGCGTCTGCAAATCGAGGTGTTGGATGGACACGACAGGAACGATGAGGACAGCTGGGGTGGTCAGGGACAATGGGCAGTGGCATTAGAAAACACTGGAGCGGAGAAAGGGGATACGTCCGCGGCCGGAGGGTGTAAGCGGAGACGGTGAGCGTGGAAGCAAGGCGCAGCCGGAAGGAGCGAGAGGACGTCAGCGGTGGCCCGGTGGGGGGAGGGAGAGGGCGCGCGTAGGCGCACACTTAATTACGGCTAATTGAACCGCTGCCTCAGAGGACACGGAACGGGAGGGCGGGACACGACAGCGGGGGATGTCCGCCTTGCGCCCGCCCATTTCCCCCTCCGCCCATCCGGGGAGGGGCGGACTTCGCGAGATCACAGGGCGCCGCACGCCGCCCCGCCCCCTTCACACCACCTCACGTCGCCTCGGGCGGAGGAGCGAGGTGACGGAAGGGACTGGTGAGGAAACGGGTGTGCGCGGGCGAGCGCCAGGCGCGGGGCGTGGCGGGTCCGGGAGGCGGGCCGTGCGGGTCGCCGGGAGGGACGGCAAGACCGGCGGGTCGGGCCCGGCCGCTTTCCCGAAGCGCAAGTTGCCGCCCCGTGTTTACCGCATAAACACGCCGCCGATCCAGCCGCGGCGGCCGGGTACTCTTGTGTCGCAAGGGCGGCGGGGCTATTCGGAACACTATGCCTCAGAGAGCGGAGTGGCTGCGCCATCTGCCGAGCAGCGAGGCGGTCGTCCAAGGGTCTGCAGCAGCGACGCGCCACCCAGACGGAGCGGTGGCAGACTTCGTCTCAGAAGATGAAGACATATGCCTCGAGACTAACGAATATTCCTTGATGAATGATCGACGGGGACTTAGGGAACACTTAACAAATTCACTTAAGCTCTTAATAACCAATTCTAGTCTAAATCAAATAGTTTATTTCAAGAAACGCCTGAAAGCATCCCTAAATGACAACGATTTCTTACATTCAGTTATTGCATGAAATTCTTGTTGTTCCTCCTTTTTCTATTATTATTATTATTATTATTATTAGTTGAAGATGTGCGTACACTAATTCGTAATTTCCCTAATATCTCTCTAAGCATACCATAATATACGAGTTGGCTTTGGGAGTTGAATCTCATGAAAGCGCACGTAGGAATTGGAGAACGAGTGACGGGACAAACAGTGGGACTGCAAGGTGCGTACAATTAAGCGAAGCAGGTTAGAATAAAGCACAATCAATAATGTAGCAATGTTTATACGCGCAATCTTTATCTTTCACTGATACGCGCGAACCAAGGCCATCTCAACGCGAAGTGGCATTTAGGAAGGACAAATTGAGCAATTCGAGGATGGTAACAGAGGTATATTGCCTAGTGGAGGAGTGGGAAGCGCAAGTGACACACAAAGTCAGTGACGAGAGGAGCGCATTGAAGAGAGGCGACCGGGGATTCCAGGAGACTCGAGTGTCTTCCAAGAAGATTTCATGATTTAGAGTCGAAACAGGCACAGAAAGAACATCTGTATCACTTTCTAGTCTCTTTAAATATTTCTGACGCAAGTGTCTCTTGAAAGGTAACAGCACTAGGCAAATAATTCAGAACGGCGTAAGTAAAAAAAAAATTAAGAAAATCACTTAGAGGTAATGCGAAGACAACTGTTCAGAGCCTTAAACGTTTGAACATCGGAGGTTTTTTATATTTTACATCACAAAAAACTAGCAACACAAATAATGAACAATATCCTTGAAATATGTTTCGCAAAACATCGGCTACGTTACCCAAGTCTGAGTAATCATCACGGCCGGAAGGCGCATTCGCGACAGAGAGCTCCCTTAATTCTCGGCGGCCGCGTCTCCCGAGACACACCAAATCTCGGAGCGCGCGCGGGGGTGAGCGGGCGGGCAGCAAGGCAAACAAAAAAGGCGGCAAAGATCCTCTCTGGAAGCGGCGGGCTCCTCCAGCCTCCTCGAGAGGGCGTGGGAGGAAAGGTAAAGAGAAGGAGGGATGAGAGCGGAGAGAGGAGCAGGGCGCAGCGGGGCGAAGCGAGGGCGCGGGGCGGCGAATCGTGAACGTGCGGGGGCGGGGGCGGGGCGCGACGTGCTCCCGACGGAGCGGCCCTTACACCCGCGGGAGCGCTCGGCGCGCGCGTCCACCCGGAAGGACCCGCCCCCACCCCCTAGCGCCGGCAATCAATGGCGACGGCAAACAGAATGGGGAGAGCGGTGGGCGGCCGGCCACACACAGCGCCCCGCGCGCTCTCCTCCAAAGAACGTTTCGCGAGACGGGTGCTCTAACGTTTTTGAAGAACGCGATGACGATACTTCATTTAAATATTCTTTATGAGCACCTTATTGTTTCCAAAAGCCACCAAATTCTTCTGGACAATTCATACAATTCAACAAACAATTACTATAGCTAAAATAGTTATTGAATTAAATCAATACTATATTTTGAGTTTTGGTGGAAGTGAATGATATATTTTACTAATTTTAACTTATTTCATATTTAATTCCAATTACAAGAATTTTAAAATATGGATTTGACAAAGAAAAAATAGTTGTATATAGTAGATAAAATTAATGACCAAATAACTATGAAGATTGATGGTTTGGTAATATTTATAATTAACATCTTTACTGAAACATGTTTAAATTATGAAAAATTTAAAAAAAAGGATCTCAACATCATTTGAATATTGTTTTTATTCCTTATAATTATCAATGTTACCAGAATCTTCATATTCATCATTAACTACATTTTCTTCTACTACAACAACTAATCAGGTATTTTCTTGCAGTGAAAGGTGAAGCGGATTAGGTATGTTTCGATGTGAAGTGAGAACTTCACGACCTCTATGAACGAAATTTGGTTGTTTTTGTGAAAAATAACATAGAATTTACATTCTGATACCCACGAAATACGTAGTATCTTCTGCAGATCAATTTTCACAAATTAAAGATTTGTTACCTTCCGTAAACAAGTTTCTCATTTTAGTACAGGCTGAGATCGCCCAGTGACGACAATCCCTGATTTACTTTCTTTTTTCCATCAATTACACGGGAATATTATGGAAGTACCCTAAAAAAGGTCTTGAGTTGCACGCGACTTCCTTTGTTTCCTTTGATCTCCCTTCTCCCAATTCACACATTAATTTTTAAATGCACACTACCACACACTCAGATAGACCAGTTGGGAGCCTGGCAGAAGCGGACACCTGGAGGTACCTGGAGGAGGAAAATCTCTCAGGGGAACACGAAGTACTTACTTTATCCCCATATTTCCGTATATTTTTCATGCATAATATTTACGAAAAATACTAATCTGTATCGTGATTGAAGTCTGAAGTACCAAATCGAAATAAATTGAAATGTAAATTCTTTAAAAAAACAAGAGATAGACCAAACATTTCAAGAGACAAACCTTTATTGTTTTAACTCATAATTTGTAAAGTAAACTAACCAAACACGTACGTGTATATTTTTTGTAATAAACAAGTTCGTTATAGTTTAAGATGTAAATGAATTTTTAATAAACTCTCGTGGACGAGAAAAAGTGTTATCTCGAATAAGTTAAGAGAGGATAGAAATAATTAAATTTCTAGGAATAATTTGAAATACCCTGT